CAGGGAATGCATTGCAATCTCAAGTGCGCTTGTCATGCATCAACGCTCTGCCATCGTTTTTTTTTTTTTTTTTTTTTTTTTTTAAAGAGAGTTAATTGTTTCTTATATTTGATGGCCATCTTCCACAGCGGCACTTCCACACTATGACAATTACTAACATGACTTGAAGGTCATTGTTTGTTAGGCAGTCCACAGTCAGGGTTTCATGAAGTGCAATGCACATGTGTCCAGAATCTTGATCAACACATTCATGGTGCAGGCGGGAACAACCTTCAAGTAAAGAGCAGTGTTTAGAAATGTCAAGATCGAAGAACTTTTGTATCATTCTGCTTTTTAGATATGATTTTAATGAATGAATTTTGTTTTAACAAACCAGGACTGTGCATGGCAACTATGACTTCCCAGTTACAGAGAGATTAACAAGCAAAGCCGTGTGCGCTTGCATGTGACATCAACATGAGTTTGCTTGTATGCACGCATGCCTCTGTCAACATGTTTTGCTTGTGAGGACCAGTCTCTCGTGCCACTCCAGGACTGGCGGCAAGAAAAACGACCGTTGAGTCAGCTTCGCACATCCTCACTTTCTGTTAACAGCAAATTTTTGGGTGTGGGCACCATCTGATGTTTCAGTTTATGGCACCCAAAGGGGAAGCAGCAGAAATGGTTGAGGACCAGAGAATGGAAAAGGTGGAATTAAGTTGTTTTTACCAGTGAAAATGTATTCTTTCATTCGATAGATTTGATCTATAAATAATTGTAGAACACAATATTCTGTGGGTTCTGAAAAAAACAGTCAAAATGCTGTAATAGGCTTGCACTCAAGAGGGGCGACCACTGAAAATGGCTGTCATTGAATAAGTTAATGTCTGTAATTCAAATGTTTTTGACCCAACCTCCTAATGCTAGGTTAAAAATAAAAAAAGGATCCAATTACGCACAAGAGAATTTTATAGGTTGTAAAGAGCTCAAAATAGTCATTTGTTGAATTTGCAGGGTTAGGTGGTCATATTTACAGGAATCAAAGAATGATGCAGAGGTATTCCTTGCAGCATGAGACTGTTAGCTGATGGCCAGGGTCACTTCCCGACAAGACTGCAATGTTGTAAGGAGGTCGGATAGCTGTTCGGTTGATTGTTTTTAGTTATCATACATTTGCTTATTATTAAGAATAAATTGATTATGCTCGCAAAGAAGAACGCTTATGTCTGCAATGATAAATTATGCCTGCAATGAAGAACGCTGATGCTTTTAATAAGGATATAATGCTTTTAATCATTATATACTCACATTTATAATCAAGAATGTTTAGTGCACTGTGTGGCAGTTGAGGGACACAACCACCTTTCCCAGGAAGTGGTTGGGAAGAGATACATATTAAGACTAAACAAGAGCAAGGTCGGACATGGACGGAACTGTCAACACCCGCTGCAACTTGGTGTTTCTGTAATGATTTCACACATGTACGTAATTTTCACTCACATACACACACATAGTCAAACAAGTTCAGTGTGTCTTCAACAGCCCTCACCCTTTAGGTTGGACACACCCTACATGTCTCTCAATAAATGAGAGGGCGAGCGGGGCGATCCTTGGGTGACGTGCAGAGAACTGAAACCAACGCTTCTCCTCGTTCCCCCCTGGTACCAGAATTGAGTCTCCTGTCTCCTCCTTGTCTTTTATGTCTAAATGTCAAATTGATGGACCTGACAATAGCCATCCTTGCGCCAGAATCATGGGGAGAAAGTTGGTCGGCCCCTTTAGGGTCCTTTAAGGTGTGAAAATGCCCACTGAAAAGTTTAACACTTCCTTCTATGGTGCAGAATAAAGAACAGAATCAACTCTATGCATGACAATCTACCATCTCATGCCTCCAAGGATGCAAATGGGCGTAAAAGGCCTCGATTCAGGCCGATGATCAACCATCACCGGTGCATGGGGAAGTGTGGTAAGTCATGTCCACTTGCAAGATCACCGTTTTCTAAATTCAACCTCGTGCTGAAAACTCGGTGACACATGAGACTTGGGAGATTAATAGTTCTCGTGGGTTTCAAGGAATACACTGAAACCTCACCATTTTACATCAGTTCTGGCGTTATCGTCCAGATGTCCACAGCGACAATCGATCCTTTAATTCTGACTGCTACTCTGAGAACCCCTTCTTCAATAACTTTCAGCCAAAAATCTCCACAAATAAGGTAATATAGGCCAAAATTCCTCATTGTCCTCCTTAAAATTACTGTGATGTTTCTAACTGTGTCAGTTGCCTTAAAAAAATTTACTTTCATCGCACTGATTACCATTATTCATGACGTGCAGTGTAGGCAGTGGAATACAGTCGATCATGTACTTTAGTCGGCAATTGTTTTCACATGAATTTAGCTGTTGTGGGAGATTTTAGAGGTTTTGTAGTGCAAATTGGATGTTTTATTATTTTTGTTGAGAAAATATAACCAAGATGGTGGGCCCGTCTCACGTTGATACTAGGTGGCTATTATGACATCCTTCAAAGAAAATTAAAATTCCAAAGAACACAAATTCAATGGATGCAAAACTGATATAGATGTTCTAAGATGTTCTATGTTGAAATGTTAATTGACCTGTTAAGATGTTGATTGAAATAACTGAAGTTTGCTTTTGTAAAGGAACTTAATGTGCATGTTCACAAAACGCTTGCCCTCCTGGGACTGACGGGGCAGTGACAGTTCAAATTATTACTGTGGCAAACTCAAGTGGACCGCATGGTGGGAATGTGGCCTTGGAAAAAAAAAAAACACATTGTGTGACTGAAGCCAAATGTTTGAGAGCAGCAGTGAGCAAAAAAACATTTTGCAGAAGACCTGTTGTAAGTTATGCAAATTTAGCAGTACAGATCAGGCTTTGGGGCACTGAGCCTTTCATGAAATGTAGGATGCTGACATTTCCATTTGAAACTTACGTGAAGCAGTCACAGCGTTCATCGTATGCAATCTCTTCCAGACTAACATCTTGCTCCAGCTGAGGTTTGGTTCCATTCTACAAGATAGATAAAAAGATGTTGACATCATTTCATTTAGAGGTGCTTGTATATCTCAATAAAGGTCATTTTACATCCTGACAATGATACAGATCCCATACTGTATTTTTCCTTAAAATATGATTATTTATCATATAAAATTATTGGACATTTTCAGCGATCCATTAATCATTTATATTTTAAATACCGGTAAATGTTTTATACAGACCACACAATCTTCTTCTTCTTCTTCTCCTTTCGGCTCGTCCCAGACCAGGGGTCGCTACAGCGAGTCATTAATTTCCATCTGCCCCCGTAAACCGCCCCATCAACTCGCATGGTCGTCTTGGCAAAAGTTTTACGCCGGATGCCATTCCTGACGCAACCCTCCCCATCTCTCCGGGCTTGGGACCGGCACTGGGGAACAGTGCACCCCCAGGGGAGGGCACTGCTCCCCAGCGGCATACAGACCACACAATATTTTTCTTTAAAGTTCAATAAAAACATCAAATACAGTGAAAAACTGCAAAGGAGGGTTGGCTCCCCTCTAGGAATGTTTGTGTAAGTGTATGTGGGTACCAGCATGTTTAAAATGGTTAAACAGTACTTATACTTTACATACTTGAGACAAATACTACAGCAGTATACTTATTAACTTAAATATTTAATTATAAAACCTTACACGGTAATTAACATTCATCAGCATTGCCTTCTGAGAGAGACGCGGAGACTTGTGTTAGTGGTGCTCCGACGGTCAATCAGCTCACGGGATAAATCCATTTGTGCTGTCATTGGTCAACATCGCGCTGGGAACCAATCATGCGTACAGTCATGTACAAAATCTCTGAGTCAGCGGTTCTTAACCTTGTGAGAGGTATCGAACCCAACCACCATTCACCCTTACTGAAAAATAAAAATCGGATTCAAGAACTGTTCCTTCAGTTTTTCTGGTCCTAGACTAGAGTTGCTCAACTTGGCATGACAAATCATGCAGATAGGACACTGAGTCCCATCCCGTTCTGTGATGCATGTTGTACATATTCGTCTGACCACTTTCTTGTTTTTTTTTTGCTCGACGTAGCATGTATTAAAACATTCCAAAAAATAAAAAATAAAAATCACACGAGGTACGATCACTACCGTCACACGTTGACAACTGAGCGAACTGAATTTTCCGCAACACTGATTGGACAAGCAATGTAATGTGATCATCTGCAGCCAGTGATGGCCAAGCGGGCGTGTTATAATTAATTGACATGTTGAGTCAGGTGTATCTTAACCTCCATGGCAGAGGCTCCCTCGAACCCCTGAAACCGATTCACCGAACCCCTGGGGTTCGATCGAACCTAGGTTAACTCATTCAGTACCAGCCAATTCTGGACCAAGTCTGAAAAGACGTTTAAAAACGTCTTTGGGAGTGAATGTGTTAAGAACCACTGCTCTGTCATTTGGCATTTTTTTTCCTGAATACAGCACTTTGGGGAAAAAAAAAACGCGATGTAGTGAAGCCGCAATAAATGCGCGATATAGCGAGGGATCACTGTATGGATAAAACCGAGAACAGTGGCAACCATTCCCAGGATTGGTCGACCAGCTAAAATTACTCCAAGAGTGGGACAATGACTCATCCAGGAGGTTGCAAAAGAACCTCGAAAAACATCCAAAGAACTCCAGACCTTGTAGGCCTCAGTTCAGGTCAGTGTTCACAACCCGACCATAAAAAAGACATTGGCCAAAAATGGCATCCATGGAAGAGTTCCGAAGGGAAAACCACTGCTGTCCACAAAGAACAAAAAGGCTCGTCTCACATTTTCCAAAAGATAGCTTAATGATCCTCAAGACTTGAAAAAAACGTCGGCCTGATGAGTCAAAAATTGAACTTTTTGGAATATGTGCGGCCCATTAGATTTGACAAAAAACATGGCACACCATTTGACAAAAAGAACATTATGCCAAGAGTTAAGCATGGTGGTAGCATTGTGAAGGTCTGTGCTGCTTTGCTACCTCTGGATTGAGACGACAAGCTGTGATTGACGGGACAATTAATTCTGTTGTCTACCAGAAAATCCTGAAGGAGAACATGTGACAATCAGTTTGTGCTCTCAAACTCAAGTATTCTTGGATCATGCAGCAGGACAACAATCCGAAACACACCAGCAATTCCATCTTTGAATGGCTAAAAAAATAAATAAAATAAGGTTTTGGAGTGGCCAAGTCAAAGTCTGGATTTGAATCCAATTGAGATGCTCTGGTGGGACCTTAAAGAAGTAGCTCATACTAGAAAAGCCTCCAATATGGTGGATTTCAAGCAATTCTGCAAAGAAGAGTGGGCCAAAATTCCTCCACAGTGATGTGAAAGACTCATCACCAATTATCGCAAACATTTTATTTCAGTTATTGCTGCCAAGGGTGGCACAAACCATTATTAGGTTCTAATAATGTTACTTTTTCACACGGGGACAGGTAGGTTTGGATTTTTTTTTTTTGTCCAAATAAATTGGCATTTAGAAACTACATTTTGTGTTTCCTTGGGTAGTCTCTGTGATATAAAAAAATCAAAATTTAATCGAAAAATTCATCCACAAACTTATTTTTTTATCATAGTGGTAGTGGTAGCTTTATGTTTGAAAGCTGACATTTTGCAAAAGGTCAAAACGTTCAAGGTGCTCAGATACTTTCGCAAGGCGCTGTATACAGGCTAAAATATTAACATCCACCGATACTGTTTGGTTAAATGGTCCTTGAAGTTTAATCTTGAACAGATGCATTTCATATGCATCAATATGCTTCTGGCATCATTATGGATAAATATTTGACTGTTTTGCAGAACTGAGACAGACTTTGAAGCATATAGACATGTGGACAAAGGTACAATAAGATTGACATCAGGCTTCTGGGACGGTCAAGTTTATCAACACAATTTAAAATATGACAGAAACTGCACGTAATGTATAATGCTGTTCATGCAGTCTGTGGAAATAAAACTTGGTAATACTGAGTAAAAAGTGGTTGTGCATCATCTGCTTAAAAGTGAGATCCTTTACGTACCTTTGTAATGGTCAGCAGAATTGCAAGGCGGTCAGCTGGAGGTGGCATACCAACATACAATGTTTTATCTAGACGACCTGGTCTCAGTATAGCAGGATCAATGATATCTGGCATGATGGGGGAAAAAAGGAACTATTTAGTGTCATGAATTCAAGAAAAACATGATTTTCTGGTGATTCAACAACTTGACCAGCACTACTGACAAGCACAGTACATCCTGGACAGATTGCCAGCTGGCAGACACTGTAGGAAATTAGTTAAGCAATATCATCGACCTGATGATGTCCATCGGCCATTTTCCTACTTTCTGTCCACTGAAAATGACATCACAGTTTCTCAGTGCTCAGGTAACGACGAATCATGGCTCAGCCTCTGAAAACGGTTGAGCCATGAACAGACAAACTGGGGTGGGGGAGGGATGATTTGGAGTAAAACCAACATAGGGGCCGCGGGCCAATCAAATTCTCTGTGTTTTTTCACGATTTGCCATTTGAGCATCATCGGCCTCCATTTAAGATCGTCTGCCACTTTGTGATCACGAACTCTGTCCCAGCCCAAATTTCCCTCCCTCATATCAATGTTTAAGTACAGGTGTACTGCATGTTTCACTTCACTACTTTCTTTAAAAGACATTTTTAACATGTAGGGTTCAATTGCGACTCTGCCCTTGCTGTGTGGAGTTTGTGTGTTCTCCTAGTGCCTGCATGGGTTTTCTCCAGGTACTCTGGTTTCCTCCCACATTACAAAAACATGCGTGGCAGGTGTTAGAGTACCGGTAATTGTATGTAACTTATTGCTCTCTGTTTTTGGATGTATAATCAACTTACTAATGCAACCTTGCAAAGACTTCATTTACGATAAAACATTTAAAAACCTGTTTGCTTTCGCATCAGGCTCCAGGAGAGTTTTTGTAGGTCTTGGGATGTTATATATTATCTCCAAAATGTCATCTATCTTCATAACACATACGAGGGCTGCTTCGTTAAAAAATTGTCGGGGGTGTTGATGAGCCTTTTTTTTTTTTTTTTTAATTGCACAGTAACCCAATAAAATATTGATGCTGTTTTCAGGCCTGATGTGTTTAAAAGTTTGATGAGTTTTCAAGCATGTTTAGAACCCCAAAAGTGGTATTGTTATCTTGGCGAAGTTGGTTTGCAAGACCTGCACGATAAGTTCAAACTCAGCTTGGACCGAAGCATCGCAAAAATAACAATTGGAAGATGATGTGAATGAAAAACAGAGAAGAACTGGAATGAAATTAATAATTTGAATATATCCGACGTGGTACATAACACTCGCTACATTTTGCCCAGAAGCTTTTGCAATTTCACCCATATGAAAATATAAATGTGTGCATGTTCTAAAACACAATTTACACATACCATATTTCCCGGACTATAAGTCGCAGTTCTTTTCATAGTTTGGCTGGGGGTGCGACTTATACTCTGGAGCGATTTATGGGTGAAATTATTAACACATTATTATATCATTTCACATTATTTTCACATTAAACCACAAGAGGCCGCTCTAGACCTGTGTTGATAAAAACCACGATGAGTCTGACATAAGCGACGTAGAAGAGGAAGTGCTGCCATCTTCTACCTCTGGAGTTGGTGGAGTTGCTTTAAAGTGACACGGAGGATGAAGATTTCATTGGATTTAGTGATTTGGAGTGACAGTGATGGTTTGATGAACTTGTTAGCATGTTCTTTATGCTATAGTTATCTGAATAACTCTTAATATGTTACTTGAACATACCAGGAACGTTCTCAGTTCGTTGTTTATAAGATAAGATAAGATAAGATATCCTTTATTTGTCCCACACTGGGGAAATTTACAGCCTTCAGCAGCAAGATTGTGGGTAGAAAGAAGAGAAAAGAAAACACAGTTCAATTAAGTGCAATATAAATATAAATATGGATAAGGTCAATAAGTTCAATTAAGTGCAATATAAATACAATAGTCACAGTACTATTCACATTTGTTGTCATATCATTTAAATAATTTTATGATATATTTATTTATTCATTTTTTA